TGCTGAAAAAGACTGTGAATAGGGTAGGAGCGAGAACGCAGCCTTGTTTCACACCATTCTTTATTAGAAAAGGCTCAGAAAGTGTGTTGCCATATCTGACTTGGCCGTGCTGATCCTCATGAAGTGAGATGATCATTTTAAGGAACTTGGGGGGACAACCTAAACGTTCCAAAATCTGCCAAAGACCTTTTCTGCTCACAGTATCGAAAGCCTTGGTGAGGTCAACAAAGGTTACATAGAGACCTTTGTTCTGTTCCCTACACTTTTCTTGCAGTTGTCTGAGAACAAAAATCATGTCTGTGGTGCTCCTGTTGGCTCTGAAGCCACACTGACTTTCAGGTAGAATATCTTCTGCTACAGCGGGTATTAGTCTGTTCAGAAGTATTCTTGCCAAGATTTTGCCAGCAATGGAGAGCAGAGTACCTGATTTAGTACCTTTCTTCTTATACAAGGTGATGATGACTGCATCACGAAGGTCTGAAGGTAGTTCGCCTAGTTCCCAACAGCGCACCACAAGCTCATGAAATTTAGCATGGAGTGCAAGCCCCCCATGTTTCCAGACTTCAGGTGGAATTCCATCAACCCCAGCTGCCTTGCCGATTTTCACCTGCTGTATGGCCTTGAGGGTTTCTCCTAAAGTGGGAGCAGTATCCAATTCATACTTCACTGGTTGTTGTGTGATGGACTGAATTGCTGAGTCTTGGACTACACGGTTGGTACTGAAAAGAGTCTGAAAGTGTTCAGACCATCGATTCAGAATGGAGGTTTTATCTGTCAGAAGCGTTTGACCATCTGCAGTGAGTAGTGGGCTTTGGACTTGGTATGTAGGCCCGTATGCTGTTTTCAGGGCCTCATAGAATCCTTTGTGATCCCCTGTATCTGCACATAGTTGAGTTTTTGCAGCTAGATCGATCCACCACTTGTTCTGGATGTCACGGAGTTTCTGTTGGAGCTTGCTGCATGCAAGACGAAAGGCTATTTTTCTTGCGGGACAGGATGGCAGTGCAAGGTGTGCTTGGTGGGCAGTTCTCTTCTTCCTCAACAATTCCTGGATTTCTTGATTATTTTCATCAAACCAGTCCTTGTTCTTCTTGAGGGAGAACCCTAAGGATTCTTCAGAGGATTGCAGGATGCTGCTTTTAATATGCTGCCAAATTGTTTCAGGAGAGGAATCTGCAGAATCTGTGGAATGGTTATCAAGCTTAGTTTGAAGGTTTGCCTGGAATCTTTCTCTTACTGTGGCTGATTGGAGATCGTTAACTTGGAGTCTTCTCCTTGGGATACTGCCCCTTTTGGGTTTGAATTTGAGATTGAAATTGAGTTTACAGCGCACAAGCCGATGGTCTGTTTGGCATTCTGCGCTGGGCATCACGCGGGTATGGAGGACATCGCGGACATCTCTCCGTCGCACCAAGACATAATCAATGAGGTGCCAATGCTTAGACCTGGGGTGCATCCAGGTTGTCTTCAGACTATTTTTCTGCTGAAAGATAGTATTGGTGATGGTAAACTGTTGCTCCGCACAGAATTCTAGCAGAAGTCGACCATTATCGTTGCAGTTTCCAACACCATGCTTGCCTAATATTCCTTTCCATGCTTCAAAATTTTTACCTACTCTGGCGTTGAAATCACCAAGGATAATGATCTTATCATCTGCTGGTACCTTTTGGGTAAGGCAGCGCAGGTCAGTGTAAAATTTATCTTTTTCAGCAGGGTCAGCTTGGAGAGTTGGGGCATATATACTAAAGATGACAACGTGATGCTTGTTGTTTAGTGGAAGGCGTAGGGAGATAATGCGGTCAGAGTGACCTGTCGGCAGATTTTCGAGTTTAGGGACAATAGAGTTTTTGATCATGAAGCCGACACCTGAGAGATGTTTTTCAGTTCTGGGCTTACCTGACCAAAAGAGTGTGTAACCGGCACCGTGTTCTCTGAGGCTGCCTTCCTCGTGAAGGCGAACTTCACTGAGAGCAGCTATGTTGATGTTGAGACGGGCCAGTTCATGGGCAATTAGGGCAGAACGTCGCTCAGGACGACCGCTATCTGCAGAATCGAGCATGGTTCTGATGTTCCAACATGCTAAAGTTAATTTAGGTACACCTTTGGAGGCAGGTGCATGCCTTTGTCTTTTGTTCTTTGTGCGACCGCATTGGAAGAAGATGCCCGTTGGTCTGCGGTTAACCAACCGGGTGAAGGTGGAGATGAGCTTTGTTTAGGCCACCTTTTCTAGGCCCCTCTCCGAGTGGAGCAAGCAGTGCTGTCCTTGAAAAGGCTGCTTGGACGTTCAGGGTGCTGCCCCAAGAGACTCTCATCTCCGTCAGTCTCAAATGACCAATATCCTGAACCGCCTGCATGCAGGGTTGGGTCTGCGGCTCCCAGTGCACCTTTCACCTACCGTTTCGACCCTCGCCCGTCGCTACAGGACTTTTTGCATGTGGGTAAAGCCTTCAAGCCTGCGCAATGGATTTTTTAGGTGAGATGCAGTATGCGCGGAACTGAACCCACCCTTTAATCCTAAGGTTCATCTGCCAGGGCCGAGCAAGCTTGGACGGTGGCAGCGAGGTCCTCAGGACGTAGGTTTGATTAGAGTGACCTTCTCTTAGATGGATGGCCTTACAGGGCTAAGCGAGCTCCATCTACCCGGGTTTGAGATTAGAGTTGTCCTTCTCCTAGGATGACTGCCAAAAGGCTAACGAGCTCATCCTGCCCAAGAACGTAGTGTATCTGGTCCTACGGTTTTGACCTGTCTGGCATGGGTGACCCTACTGAAGGCATGAACCAACACCAGCATAGCTCGCAACCATATAGGGGTACACAGGCTACATACCTGTTACAACAATTTGGGCAAGTCTTTCATTTCCTACTTTACTAACACATACCTATACACAATCTGAAGGAGAAATCCAGGAACAACCCTTTGACCTATCCACACTTTCAGGACATAACAGAGCAAAGCAAATATATCCAGAACATGCTGAACCTGGGCAGTAGCCACAGGTAAGCTAGAAACAGACAGACAAACAAAACAAACCAACAGTTCTGGCCCCTGTACCCATCCAAGGCTGGGGTGCCTTACAAGGTCCCAGCCTAGCTGGGACCCCCGTCACTCTAAAGGAACCCCGTTATCCACCCTGACCATGTCCTTCCTCCACTGTGTTACCACGAATCTTCAGGCGCACTGCTTACCTGTGGCACCTCACACAGGACTGCCCCGCTCTCCCTTCCGACTAGGCTCATAATACAGAATGTCTAAATCCCAAGGCAGTCTACAACTCAAAAATTTAGTTTGGAATTTATGTACATTGATTTGCTCCAAAAATCCCATTTTTTTTTTTTTTCTGTAATTGGTTTAATTCTAATTACAGAGCAGAAAACCAGTCTGTTCTCCTGTTTTAAGTTAATGAATATAAAGGAAAAACCTGAAAAAATTAACAAAATGTATGAATCTTAAAAATACTAGTGAATTTCAACTGTATACCATAGTAATACTCATCTTGGGTTTTGTTCAGTTTTGTTTTTTTGAAATCCAGAGTTTTGACAGCAATCTCACTAAAACTAGTTGCTTTACAGGCAACAGATAAATATGTGCATGTAGTAAGAATCCCTGTGTACAAATATTTTTCCTTTTTCTAAGAAGTTGTCATCATACAAATCTGAAAATAAAGGTGCTTGTTTACAACAGTGATCTGCCTTCTAAACATGGGTATGCAACTGCAGACAACAAAATAGATTTTTCAGATCTGTGAATCGGGGCACTGGGGATTTGAATCTCATTGGCTTAAAATCCAGGGAATGCCCATAGACTGAATGTCTTACATTAAGCACAATTTTAATGCACAGTGCTATAGTAACATTTCAGTGAGGACTTGGATGAATGTTAGATTGAGAGATCAGAGAATGATTTACATTGGAAAAGACCTCTAAGACCACAGAGTGCAACCTCTGACTAATCACCACCTTGTCAACGAGACCATGGCACTAAGTGTCACGTCCAGCTTTTCCTTAAACACCTCCAGGGATGGTGATTCCACTACCTCCCTGGGCAGCCCATCCCAATGTTTTAACAACCCCTTCTGTGAAGAAATTCTTCCTGATGTCCAACCTGAATCTCTCCTGGCACAACTTGAGGACCTCTTATTCTGTCACTAGTTGCTTGGGAAAAGAGGCTGACCCACACCTGGCTACAACCTCCTTTCAGGTAGGTGTAGTGAGTGATATAGTCACCCCTGAACCTCCTCTTCTCCAGGTTAAATAATCCCAGCTCCCTTAGACACTCCTCATAGGACTCATGCTCCAGATCCTTCACCAAATCCGTTGCCCTTCTCTGGACTTTCTTGTAGTGAGGGCCCCAGAACTGGACACAGCACTCAAAGTGTAACCCCACCAGTGCCGAGTACAGGGGGACAATCACTTCCCTGCTCCTGATGGCCACACTATTGCTGATACAGGTCAGGATGCCACTGGACTCCTTGGCCACCTGGGCACACTGCTGGCTCATATTCAGCAGCTGTCGATCAGCACCCACAGGTCCTTTTCCTGGGCAGCTCTCTAGCCACTCTGCCCCCATCCTGTAGCGCTGCATAGGGTTGTCGTGGCCAAAGTGCAGGACAGGGCACTTTGCCTTATTGAACCAACGCTCATAATGAACTTGCAATTCCTATCCTGCTCTGCTCTGCACCTATATAGTTATTTATTTTTATATATAGGTCTGTGGTTCTTCCCATGTCTAGGAAAAGATGTATCGACTGCCCCGCCAGCTTGTTGAGTACCTGACGTATCAGGCACAGCTGGGCTGCCGTCCCTGGGGTGACCGAGGGACACAGACTGATCTCCAGCGCCGGCAGCCCCGGTGGTCGTTGTGTGAGGGACTGGCCCTGGCGGCCCGGCCAAGCCGCCCCTTATCCCTCACGCATTTCCCGCTGTCCCGGGGGCGGGGCGGGGGCGCGGCCCGGAAGTGACGGCACAGAAGTTCGGGCGGCGGGCGGGGGCCGGGAGCGGGAGACGCGGTCCCTTCAGTGGTGGTGCCCGGAGCTGCGATGCCGCCTAAGCCCCCGCGCAGGGCGGGCGCCGCCAGGAGCCAGCGTGCCAGCCCCGACGGCGGCTCCGCGCCGCCCGCCACCCCCCGGTAAGCGCCACTCGGGCCGGGAGCCGCCGCGGCGGGACGGCTGGGGGGGCGGGTGGACCGCCTCGGGGCTCTCGGCGCCCGAGGGTCCGGGCTGTGTCCCCTCCCGGGCTGTGCCGCCGAGTGGGGCGGTGTCACCCCGGGGCGGCTCCGGCAGCGGGTAGTGTGAGTTCCCTCGTCGCTCCGGTGTGCGGCCGGTCCGCCGCACCGTGTCACCGCTGGTGGTGTCTGGTGCTTTTCGTAGGCTCGAGATCGGAGAGGCTGACTTCGTCGTGCTCTGTGATGCCCTGAAAGTGTCGGAGAGCGTGAGGGAGAAAGCGTGGAAGACGTATGAGAGCCTATCCGCAGTGGATGGAGCTCTGGTGAGTACCTGGTGCTCACGGCATTGCTCTGTGGTAGTGTCCGTCCTGTGCCCCGGTTCAGATATTGAGCTATTACTTTGCTGCACCGGGGCCCAAGTGTCTCACAACCAAAGCTCGTGCGGTGTGACTTCAGTCTAACTTCACTGGGAAAAAAATTAAGTTGGGTGTTGCCATATTCATGTCTATATTAACTGGCTTCCACAGATTCCCCTTTCTTGTTAATGTTTTGCAGTAAAGGTATGGGCTAAAGAATTCTTTTAGATGACTAATGAATCACAGTAGGAAAAAACACCATGTGATTAGCTAAATATTCAAAGTCTAAGTTATTTCAAATATGTCTTGGTCAGCTTTATACAGGTCATCTTGTTGTTTCTCTGTATCTCCTTTGCTGCCTCCTTTATGAGGCTGCAGAAAGGGTCTGGAGAAGACTAGTGTGGAGAAAGGAATGTTAAACTCTTTTTTTTCCTACTGCATAATGTTAACCTGTATGTACCTACCATTGAGGTATTTCCATTCAAAATTAGTCACTGGGCATGTGTAAACAAATTAATAAAATGTTAGGCCTTTTCGTGATTTTTGCTTTTCCTTCTCAGTATCACTGCTGTGTCAACAAGCTGACTCAGAGAACAGCTATAATACAATTAAATCATTTCAGAAGCTTGTTATACAAACTTGTCTTAGATTTGTAATACCTAGCTGCAGTATAACTTGCTGTGTGGACTTGCATTTATATATATGTTGCACCTCTGCTTACTCTTCTGCAATTTGAGTTACCACAGAATAGTTATGGTTGGAAGGGACCTCTGGAGATCATCTAATCCAATGCCCCTGCCAAGGCAGGGTCACCTAGTGCAGGTTACACAAGAACACGTCCAGGTATGTTTTGAACATTGCCAGATAGGGAGATTCCACAATCTCCCTGGGCAGCCTGTTCCAGTGCTCTGCCATCCTCAATGTAAAGTAGTTTGTCACTACTACTACCTGGTTGTCTGTAGCTTTTAAACTGCAGTGTGGATTTACCAGCTCTTATTGCTTTTGAGTTTTGCAACCAAGTTTAGTAACAGCATGGGAGAGAGACTGTACAGCTCTTTCAGTAACAGACACATTTCTGGCCATAGGTGTTCACAGGAAGCATTTCCCAAAATGCATAGTCTAGCTCCCGTATATGAATGAAAACAGGTGTAGTCAGTTCTCTTGAGGGGAAAAAAACAAGGCAGATTTCAGCATAATCCTACAAATTTCACTTACAGGCCAAGTTTTGTTTGCACTGATTTTCACTAATTTGTTTTACCTAGCACTGGCCAGATAAGATACAGGATACTCAAAACCCTTCAGCACCTGAAGATGATTTCCTTTACCTATTCAGAACAGGACAAGGACCAGACCTTCATTATGATTTATAGCTAATATTTGTTGTCATAAGACTAATTGCTAAGAGCCTTTCAATGTATAGGAAAAAAAAAATCTACATTATATTGTGTTTCAATCCAAGTCCTTTTCCTCAAACTTTCAGATGTATCAGCAAGGTGTTGAAATGAGTAAGCTCACAAGTGTGTGCCTCTGTGGGGACCTGGAAGGCACTGGAGCTGCTACTTCTAGCTGAGAACAGACTTCACTTGACAATGAAGTCAAACAAAGTAACAGCCTGGCTAATTGCTGCTGCACTTTTCAGGTCAAGCTGTTATCGTGGTGAGCCTGGCTTCTCGGGGTGATGCTAGTTCAAGTTGCAGGGATTCGAGAGGAGGCTGTCTTTAAATGCCTGCTCCTTTTTCTCCTCTGGTAAAGGTGATATGTTGGAGAGGCTGTCACAGGGCTTGTCCTGCAAGCACCAGCTGCATGTTTTAATCAGTAGGGGTCAGTACTAACCAGTTCTGCACTGGAACAGAAGCTGCTTGTGTAGCAACTTTCTGTTCTTAAGCAAAAGGGGAAATGGCAGGCCACTAGTTGAGACAAATACCTACCAGAACACTTCTGTTTAACATTGTAGTTGGTTTTACTTGAAGAAGCTTAAATCATCAGGCCACTGATGGAAATAGAGGTAGCATCTAATGATCCCACACTCAAGCCATTTACAACGCACAAAGACCTGAAACCTTACCTTCCCTGGCACACTGACCTTGTTCTTTATGGTTGATCTCAGAATTGTGCCTACCAAGCCTCTGAGGATGTGGAGGGGACTTGCAGTGCTAACTAGGAAGCAGCACGGCCCAGACATTAAGTACTGTGGTAACTGGCAGAGATTCGGAGTGCAAATGTGGGCATGGACATAGTCTGAACATCTGCTGTATCCTTGCTTAATGAATATTTAGTGACTTGAAGTGAAAACATCTTTTAGTACTGTCCTTTTGGAGTTGCTTAGGGTACATGTAACCGTGTGCAGAGACTCTGCAACCCGGTACATGCATCTTAAAAGTATAAAGCCATTATTTTTGGCAGGTATACACAAAAGATTGCTATACTGTAGTGATGTATCAGCCTAAATGTGCCTGCACTTTGGTGAGACACTTTGCTGGCCAGGAGGCATCAGTCAGGAAGGAGAAAGTTTGGTATCTGCTGCTCCCTGGAATGAATGCCAATGCCCACTGGAGCCACTGGCACCACCAAAACTGGCTGACGCACTGCTTTTTTTCCCTTCAGGATGTCACACCTTTCCACACTGATATTTTTTCTTTTGAATATTTGAGCTACTAGTGATGCTACTTCTCTTTGAAATTTCAGCTTTCTTATCTTGCACAGTTGTACACTGTAGCTTTCCTTACACTCCTCTCAGCTTATCTGTTTCTGCAGTGTGTGAGTCAAGGATACACAGCTGCACGCTCTTGCAACTGGGCCTTGGGTCCTTGAAACAGACTGAACTCCTGTGAGAGGTGTGAAGGAGGAGAAGGGTGATGAGAGAGATGGTAACAATCTTTCTGGAAAATGTGGCTGACTTGTAATTGTAAAAACTAGATCTGCAGAAGGGGATTGTTCAATTCACTACAGCTGCCTGTTAAATATGGTGGTGTTTTCCTTTGTAGCAGGAGAGCATTAAAGCTTTCCTCTGTGACAGCCAAAGTTTAATGACACTCTTACAATAAAATTGTAACTCAAAATCTCTTAGACAAAACCCCAAATGTTGATTCCAGAGATGTCGTACTGAATCAGCACTCTTCGTGTGTGGAGTGAAGGTATCTGACGTGTGATCAGAAAAGTGTTTTCTTTTTAAAATCTTTTTATATCTGAACTCCCACACAAGTTTATTGTACACATGGAAGTGTTTATCTAAGTAAGAGCTTTTACATTAGTGTCATACAAATACTTCTGTTGTCTCTATCATTTCTCTTCTTTACCAAACCAAGCTACCTAAGTAGCTTAGTTTTAAACTGCAGTGTGGATTTACCTAAGTAGCTTGATTGCAGTTTTTACTGTCTTAATTTCAAAACTCTTGCACACTGGCAGTTGTTGGCTTAACAGTTGGCTCTGATACTTGCTTCTCTTGTACTTTTAATTTTTTGTAACTCTCCTGAAATTTGTATTATGAACCAATAGTGCCCGTAAATTCTAGATGGAGTGGATAGATTTAGTGGAATTACTAATGTACTTTGTTGAGCAGCATGTGATTGTTGGTATAAGAAATACCAGAAGAGGTCCTGGAAGCCATACTAATACTGCTATGAAAAAGCTCAAGGCATTTGTTATGTTCTGATAGTGTATATTTTTGTAGAGAACAATAAAATGAGAATCTAAAGTAGAATACTGGGTGATATAAGCAGAAAACAAGCCTTGAGGGAATTGTTGCTGAATATATTGCAAAGAACCAGTGTGAGGAACAGATGACATTCTGACTAAATTGGAACCAAACTTCTGCAAAGAAAATTGAAGTGGTTTAGGAAATTGATAGAACTTGGAGTCTGCCAAGGACCTTGAGGCATAGGGTCTGGTGTGCTTCAACCTCATCAGCCCAGTTTGCTCTAATATATAGTGCGTGGGTAGGAGCTCCATTTTTTGTTTGCTGTTCATAGCTCTGTTTTGGAAATGTGGCTCACTGTTCTCCTGCTGCTGCTCAGCTGTTCAGACTCAAGAATTCCTGAGCCGTTTTTATCAAGTGTTTGTCTAACCTGCTGTTAAAAAATTCTCATGGTGAAAGATCTGTGGTCTGCATAGTTAGTCTTTCCTAGCTTAACTTTCTTTGTCCGTGAATTTTTTTCCCCAAGTACTGTACTTATTTTTTTCAGTGTTATAATTCAAGCCAGTGGTCATTAATGTATTATTGCTGCCTTTTTTCCCAGAAAGTCTCTAGCATCTGAAGATGTTTCAATCATCTTTCCTTGTTTCTAATTACTAATCTTACATTCTGAAATTCTCTCCAACTGGTGATTTACACTGGTATGCAGATACTGCAGAGCACTTGATTCACACAAGAGTTGAACTGTTTTTAGTGAAGAAAACTTAAAAGGTGAACTGTAGCTTAAGTTGAGGAATGAAATAATGAATTCTTAAATATAGCAAGATTGTTTTATATAGACCAAAGAGTTATTGATCAGCAGATCAGATGTCCCCAATTCATAAAATTTTGCATTTAAATTAAATCAGTTCCTTTTGACTGTGGTTTCTTATTAAAAAGAGAACATTATAATTAGCAAGCCATCTCATCTTCGTGTTAAAAGATACAGAGGCTTCTTGGTTTTGGCAAAAGCATGAAACACGTGAGCTAATAAAGTATTTTCTGTTTAGACCTTTGTCTCTTATTTATAGAACTGCAGCTAAACTGAACCTGAATCCACTGAAGTGTTGGATGGATGAGCAAAATTGCAGATATTTTAGGATTCTCTGTTGTTAAACAAAAAACAAAGAGCTACTGAAAGTCCCAAAGCAAACATAAAATCATCACCATGGCCTCTTGTTGATGATATTCAGTATCTTAGCAACAGATGCATTGCTTGTATGTGTTGTGCCCTTGCACTTTAAAAGCTCAGGTGACTGGCATACTTTTTCTTTTTTTTATTCATCTTCTGCCCATTCTGGGTAAAGATGGATGTTCCCTCCAGTCTTGCTACATGCAAAAGTGTAATAGGAACTTACCATATCAGATGAACTAATTTCATCAGTTCAATACTTTCCATTGACCTCCATTACTTTTAGATAGTAATACATTTTAATTTAATCTAAACTGTTGAAAACGGAGTAATCTTACATCCCAGACAATGTTCAATAAAAATTTAAAAGTGGTATTGCTGAAAAATGGAGGATCTAACCATCTTTACACAGAACTTCTTATCTGTAGACAATGGGTATAATATTCACTTTCAGAAATTTTTTTCCTGGGATATTTTTCCTGCAGGTTTTAATTCTGATCAGTTTTCTATTGTGAGTGTTTTCCCCAGTCATCTTCCACCTACTATAATCATAAACATACAGAATCATAAAATGGTTTGGGATTGAAGGGACCTTTAAAGGTCATCTTGTTTCAACCCTCATGCCATGGCAGGGGCAGGGACATGGACACCTTCCACTAGACCAGGTTGCTCAAAGCCCCACCCAACCTGGCCTGGAACACTTCCAGGGATTGGGCATCTACAGCTTCCCTGGGCAAGCTATGCCAGTGTCTTATCACCCTCACAGTAAAGAACTTCTTCCTAATATCTAATCTAAACCTGCCCTCTTTCAGTTTGAAGCCATTCCCCCTTGTACTATCACCACATGCTCTTGTAAAAAGTCCCTCTCCAGCTCTCTTATAGCCCCTGGAAGGCTTCTGTAAGGTCTCCTCAGAGCCTTCTCTTCTCCAGGCTGAACAGCCCCAACTCTCAGCCTGTGTTCATGGGAGAGGTGCTCCAGCCCTCTGATCATCTTCGTGGCCTCCTCTGGACTCTATTCAACAACTACCTGTGAATGTTTCTTGTACCATCAAGCTAGGTCTCTACATTGATTGGGATGTATTGGCTGAGATTTTAGTAAGCCAAGTTCCACATCGTTCTCTTCAAAAATCAGGTGCTTGACATGAGACATTCTATATCCCATTTGATTCAAATACCCTTCTGTGATTACATATTTCTTATGTACGTTTCTCTTGACCTTCTTTTACACTCAGCATCGTTTGAAGTTTCTAATCCTGGATCGCTTTTGTAGGCTATCATCAAAATTGTTACCAGTGTTGGTAGAATAGTAAAACATCTCTAACTCTGTACTAGAACTGAGACTTCCTCTGACCATCTCCTCCTTGTTACTGGTTTAACCCTGGAGAACTCCTTGAGCTGGAGAACAGAAGTTGTTTGTTAGTGCCTTTAACACCTTGCAACTACATCTGAAAAGAAGAGAGGCAAGAATCCCATTTCACAGGCGTTCAGTTGCATGAGCATTTTAAACCCATGACTCGTCTAGTTTGTTTTCACTAGATTTAAGCTAAAACCAGATCAAATAATAGTAAGTCCAGAATGAGAAATGAATATTTTGAAAGAGTTTGTAAGAGTTGTATATTGATTCAGCTGAACTGACCTACATTTTCTGAAGTTACAGTGTTGGTTCCTTAGAGTCCTAAATAAAAGATAATAAAAGAAAAAAAAGAGAAAAAAAAAATCTATGTAGACTAATAGGTGTTAAATAAGCTTTGGGCTAGTGATTGGTAGGTAGGCTTTGCTTTGTGGTGAATTGAATTAAGGTCACTGCAAGTCATCTTACTGAAACTGAATGACACCCAAGGGCAGATGTTGAGCTGTTGCCGTGGCTGTTTTCTGTAGGGATGCTATATCAATAAAGATCTTGAGTCAGACTGGTCAAGAAGAAAACCCTCAGAAATTAATGTGGCTGTGAATTTGTCTTGAGTTCATTCCCATACATTCATGTCCATCTGGGATGAATCATCTGGCTTTAACTGTAAACAGACTGTGAATTTGTGTCATACGATTGGCTCCCCTGGAGTTTTGACACTGGCAAAATAGTGAGTGGCTTGTTGAACCATCAAGAGTTCTACTCCATGTGGGTGGCATGTCTGTCATTGTGCATTGGCTTCTTTTGATGAAAGATGATTGGTTGTAACTTGTACCTTCTAAGTAGCAGAAGACCTTAAATGTAGATGTATGGTAGGAAAATGCCTGTAACTGCTTGTTGCTGTCGTGCATTACTAAACAGAGAGATGGATTTGCAGCTCAGCAGGAATAAGTCGTTGAGACACAGCTGTACCCAGTTACGAGTGTTTCTTGCCTGTCATTGTAAAGATTTTATTTACTTTTCTATGACTTGGCTTCTGATTCCTTAACCTTGAGTGTCTTGTTAAGGTCAAATATGGTAACTTTTAAAAAAGATGATAATGGCTTCTCCTTTGTGTAAATGTTCCGTGGAACCAAAGCTTGTATTTCGGAGCTTTGGTGAACTGTATGGGTTAAATTGATCTTGTGCTGTAGGAATAAGTGTTGAAGTGTTTGGTTTTTCATGCATATTGTAAAACTTGTAATCGTTTTCCACGATCAGATAACTGGCTATCATAGTCAAATGTTTGAGGATGTTTTGTTTAACCATTTCTAATAATGTCTGGACAAATTAATGCTTTCCATATATTACCCATTTTAATTGAATAATGAAAATGGTTTCCTCTCTTTTCTAAAAGGCTTGTAACAAAAAGAAAAAGGAAACATGGGGATTGTGTATCTTTATTGTAGCAATTGATCTGGATGAAGTGACATTCACTTTCACTGAGCTTCTGAAAAGTATAAGCATAAGGTAAGTGAATTTAAGTATGTAAATTTAGATTTCAATAATTAACTCATCAACATTTTTGTAAAGAAAATATTTTTAAAGCATTATGAATCTTTGTGCATATCAGGCTAGTTGATTTTACAGTGAAGGTTATTTATGAGAATTCTGAGTATTTTGGTAAACTATCATATTTTAGAGGGAGCAGTGATACTTGTTTGATTGAGCTGTGGTTAGCTTTGATTGTATGACTCATTGTATGACTAATTCTTGTTCTTGCTCAACCTGAAGTATTCAGCAGTTTTAATTGGTGTAAATTGCACTTAAGACATGTCCTTTTCTTCCACTGTATCAAGATTTTCTATAAAACTTTTTTCCCAACATTAGACTTAGGCTAAATCAAACAGTGGAAAAAAAAGTTACTCTTCAGATGGTTTCCGAGCATGCTGCTCTTTTTAAAACATTTTAATGCCAGTCTAAATTTTGTACTTTTGTACACACCTTTTATAGGGGAAGGTTACTGTTATATTGTATATTGACTAAGTTCATGAATGAGAAATTAAAATTGTAGGACAATATCTGCTTTTAAAGTAAATTTAGGTGGCAACAGCAATAGGCATACCTTGTGTTAGATTCATCAGTCTTGTTAGCCCTGGGCTTTTTGTCAGCTAGAGGGTCAACTGGCAGAGATTTCTACCAGTCATCTTATCTTCTAGAGCCACACAGATATATTGAAAAGATTTTTTTACTCCATGGTAAAAGAGTTCTTAAATGAGCTTCTGTCTGGTTTTATATTGTTTCTTTAATCTGACAAAGATCAAAAAGTCTCTCAGAATACTATATTCTGATAAAGGATCAAAATGGATTTGATACAGTTGAAATAGTTGAATATATTTGATAGCTTCGTCCTCTTTGATTTTTAGCGATCTGCTCATTTTGCTTATGAACATAACAACAAAGTGCTCCCTTGATGGCCCATCATATTACATGGATGAGTAGGGAGAACTTTGGTCCCTTGTGTAATAGCATTTCCAAAGGGTGGGAATGTCCTTGCCCCAATACCTGTTGCAAGACTTGAAATTCCATATCATTCAATGCATTCATCTCAGTTTTCACTCCTAGGTCTTTATTTAGAATGGATGGAACCAAGGTTCATGTTCTTGGAGCAGGAAGAGCATTTCTAAAGTAGAACAGAAGAGTTGAGATGTGTTTGTTGGATACTTGTGGTTTTACTGGCAGAATAAGAACAAAGATGTGTCTAATTAGCAAATTTTGACTTCCAAAGATGGTATCTGTGCTAGCCAAGAAAATTTTCCTTCTATAGTAGTGCCCATGCTGCAACATACCTCTGTTACCTGGTTGAACAGTATTCCTACATCTGGAAAATGTAAAGGTGGGACTTGAAGTAAACAAGTAGTGTTTCCCAAGGCAAAGTTCTCTGTCACTGAGAGTAAGGATAGTAGTAGTAAAGGTATGCTGGAGTCTAGTGAAGTGAGGCAATGAGTTTTGGTGGAGTTGTGTTTTTATTTTTTTTTAAGAGCTATTTTGGGATATTCATTCTCAGAGTTGTGATAAGCTGTCATCTTTTTCCTTTTTTTCAGTGTATGCACATTTTTTCAGTTTCTGAAAGAGGTGGATGTTAACATGGATACTGTAAGCACTAAAGTTGATAGCACTGTATCAAGGCTGAAAAAGAAATATGATGTATTAGTTGCACTATACCACAAGTTTGAAAGGTAGAGTACATTTTTTCATTCTGAAATTATGATTTCTTTATGCCTGTCAACAATTAAGTATTTGAATTTTTCAAACGGTGTATTACAGGAGTCCACTTAAACGCTGTGTGCTAATATTTACAGAACAGTGAAATGGAACTGTTAACATGCATTGAATAAATACATCTTATGTTTTACTCCATAACTATTACAATGCTTTGTTAAACAATCCACTTGTTGCAGCGCAAACAGTAGTAAGAGTAGCATGACAAGTGATTGCTACTCACTTTGAGTTTTTTACAGATGTATAAGAGGATTGGTTTACTAATATTTTTTTTTTTATTTGACATTTTTCCTCCAAAATCACAAAATATCCCTTAAATGATCCTTGAAAGGGGTAGTAGGTGACCCCTTGGTAGTTTATAGAATGAAGGCATAAACGTGATATAAGCTTTATTTGTCTTTTCAAAGTCCAACCAATCACACTTACTGTTATTCTGGGCAATATGTATATGACAATACTTATGTACAGTTCATAGTTGCCTTAAAGCTGTGAAATTCTGTGAAAGTTGTAAATAATTTGTTTTTATTAATTGCAAGTCTTTTCTGAGCTATAAGTGTCATTCCAGATATACACAGGCATGTTCTGGTTTTTTGTCCCTCCTCTAACTTTGCTTACTTTTTTGAACCTTGGATTGCAATAACAATTTTTTCAAGCAGGATTTGTCTTAATTTTTTTTTCCTAATTTGTTTTTGAATAAACTGAATTTATTTCTTGAAATCGTGTACCTAGAATAATTGGGAAGCAGCCTTGTACCACAAGACTTGCAGTGACACTGCAGAAACACTAAAGATTTTAAAATGCCCTTTTATAGAGTGTTCTGTGCAGCTGTAGCACACTTTGCTGTGTTGTATGAAACACTGGGTAACAATGTATGTACAAATCTTGTCTTTCTGGAAGAAAATAACAGATTTTATTATAGCAAGGTAAAATTGTTTTGCTGTTTAAGCTTTGACATAAGTATGCAAGCGACAACATAATTTCAGCTATGGCAGGCCTCTAGTTGATCTGTTGTTAATCTGTTCTCTGATAGCCAGCATTTTTTTTTTTTTAAGTTGGAATAATGTTTTGTGAACTGGTGTATTTTTTTACTACATTGAAGTCAAAGATACTGCAGAGTTCACTTTCAGAAAAGTGTTAAAAAACACGAATTTATTTTTATTTTATAGGACTTGTGGCCTTATTTATCTGGAACAACCTAGTAGTGAGTAAGTTTGATTTTCCTAAATTGTGTTTGTAAAGATATAAAACATGACAGCATTTTATCTTTTAACCCTTCAAGACTGACTTAAGTTGTAGTATGTCGTGTTTAATTTAGCCTTAGTGGGGACTTCGAATAGTAATGAGATGATGAGAGACTCAGAAATTATATATCTATATATGGCTATATATATTATATCTATCCTTTGTGAAGGATCACTATCCAATGGCATATGTCTTGACATGGTGGAAATGAACATTTGGAGAGTGAGCTTCCTAATCACAGCAAGAAATGAGTGTACTAAAAGATGCCTTAGCAACTCTGAAATGAGCTTGAGTTCATGCTGTGACTGGAGAATAGGACATTAGTCAAAGACACAAGAGAAAACAGCTTGTAACAGTTAAGTGAATTGCCTACATTTACTGTCTTTTCCAAGGATGATACTGATATTTCGTGATTCTTGAATGGCTCTACAGACTTAATTTTTTCAGATGTGTAGTCATAATTACATAGTGAATAGAATGAGATTTTTAGTAAACTTAACTATATGGGAAATGTTGCCTGTTGTCTTAAATAATTCCATAGACTGAAGCATGTTTTCGGAAATTATAGTTTAGATTATTAGAGAGCTGTCAATGCAAAGTATTTTTGTCTCTCTACAGGATATCTGCTGAACTCAGTTCTGTATTAGTCCTAAAAAATTATTGGATTACTTTTTTGCTGGCAAAAGGTGAGTTTTGATTGAAAGACAGTTATTTGGATGAATATTTTTGAAGTGAGTTTGTTTTGCATGTCCAGTATGAGACTAGCATGTATATTACAAATATACATCATACAAGCCCAGAATGTTTTGATTTCCTGGCTTTTGTAAGTACTCGGTAATATTTTTTTAATGCAATTTGGCTATTGTTGTCACTGGTATTATGTTCTGTATAGAAATATATATATTTAAGATTTCTAAGATTTTTTACTTTAAAGGTTGGTATTCTGTATTTGACTCTATTCTGAGGTGCTTTATAAAATGCCAGTATTTTAATAAGGGATGATTAACTGAAAAGACTAGCAGATTTTTTATATTTTATATATATAATTATATATAAAATAAATATAAATTATAACAGTATATGTTTATAACATATATATTTTAAGTAATATACATAAAAATAAATTTAATAATAAGATATCATAATAAGTCCCTGAAATCACATCCTTTGACTACTATGAATCTTTCCTGAAAAGGCATAAGTTAAAGTGGAGTGATAAAACAATTGCAGTAGTCTGTGAAGTCCTGTCTCATTGTACTACTCCTACAAAAGGGAATGAATCATATATCTTAATTGTTGCTTACTCAAGGTGTGTGTTCCCAGCAAAGTGTACACATCTCTTATATCAAAATCGGTCTTGGATCAGCTGAGTTTCCTGGAGCTTTTTCACTAGAATTCTCCAAGCATTAGCATAGAGCAAAACGCAAAAAAGTTTTTCTAGCCTACCTTTTCTTGAGAACAAAGAAAACTAAAATTTATCAGCATATAGTTGCAGGAGAGCCTGGGTGATGCTTGCTGGTTCTGATAGAAAATAAATACAAAAATTGGACGTGTTAAGTAGAGCACAAATAGGGGTCTGTAGCTGTTTTGAGTCATTATTGGCTTTCCAAATTTTTCATGGCAACGCATGCTCTCTTGGAGATCTTCTCTGGCATATGGAATAATGCAGCTGGAACAATGCAGCTTTGAAAGTGCTCTTCATGCTAATGTTTGTGTGACTTAAGTAATTTCATATGTATTTGACAGGCTGAGCATACAGTGTGTTAGCATGTTTTGAATTTCTCTGCTGTATATAGGCAGCTCCTGCTTTCTGAATATTTAGCAGCTTCCACAAAGCTTGCATAAGAGCACAAAAAAGAAAGGGAGGAGGAACTACACAGAAATAAGAGGTACATTTAAGTAAAATAGCCTACACCATTACAGCACTACAGTAAAATGAAAAAGAAATCAGGAGGGAGCACTGAGGGCAGGAGTTTTGTGCACGGTAAGTTTGTGTATGTGTATCTGTATGTGTTGCTCTCTCTAAAGCAACAAACCTCTCTAGAGCCATGACTTTTAAAATCGATAGCCTTTAAAGAACACTGGCATCCTATGTGATGCTTTGTGAATTCTAATGGTAGTGTTTTATTATATGAACTTCAAAACCTTTGTTTTTCAGAATTACCTCTAAAATTAAGTCAAACATTTCACAAAGATTTTCTTTACCCTTTTAAATATTTGCAGGTAAAGTGTTGCAAGTGGAGGATGACCTGGTGATTTCCTTCCAGTTGTTGCTGTGTGTCTTAGATTATTTTATCAAACTGTCACCCCCTGCCATGCTCAAGGAACCATACAGTAAGGAGTTTAGTTTTCTGTTCACTGAAGTAGAAATTAAATTGATTAAAGTTCTATTAGTCATGCTAACATTGCTAATTAACATAATAAAATTTTTAAGCTTATTAAAATTGATTTTTTTATGTTTTAGTTCAATTTAGATGACAGCGAATTGAATTGAATTGAATTCAATTATCTGAATGTGGCAATGTATTTAATTTTTTTTCCTGCCTTCTATTTACTATGTCCTTTGCCCATGCAAATTGTTTAGGAACTTGTTAAAACAGCAGTTTTAATTTTGTTAAAGAATTCAGGTTCCGGGTAGATTATAACTGAGAACTATTATTTAGGTTTGTTTTGAGTTACAAAAGGAAATGATGGTGCTGTTACTCTCTTAGTTCATTGATGTATGACAGTATGAGGACAGCAGAAATGTACAAGATACTGGACTATACAGACATGTAAAACAAATATGTGGTGGATAGAAGCTCAAAACAGTAGAGGTGACATGTAGATAGGTTTGCTTTTATTACAACCCATTTGTTATTAGCAAGTGTCACTATTTTGACTAAAAATATAATGGGTTTTCAGTATAGAAACTATAAAAACTTCAGCAGTAAGTTTTTGTACATTCAGTTTTTATACCTAAAACTTGAGAAAGCTCACTAAAAAGGCAGAGGAAGTAAACATTTATGGCAACTTTCAAAAGTAGAATTATATTTCAGTTAATTATTTTCTTCAGCAAGCTATGGAATTGATAATGAGTTAATCCTCTGCTGGATTGGGATGTGACCCTAGTATTTTTAGCCTAATTTCTTTGTTTCACAACTAAACATCCACTTGGGTTATAATGTCATAGAATAGATGATATAGTCACTGCTATATTCTTTAAATTCCCTGTTTTGGTGGGTATTTATCTGACCTAGTAAGCATTTGTTGCAGGTGAGAACAAATAACCTTGCTTTTATTCTAATGCCAGTGTAAAGGGTGGGAAAGAGCAGGCTTGGGACAAGCAAATCACTGCCCTCCTTCAGTACTATTTTGAATTTAAATTTGTCCTTTCTAATAGGACAGACATGTGCTACTGCTTATTTCAGATATTATTAAGCAGAGATTTTTCAAAAAACACTGAATTGAAACTACCTGTTTTTAAGCTCTGTATTCACACTGATTTAGGAGCTCGTTGTTAGAAACAGTTTGGTTCTGTGCATCATATCCTGAAAAAAAATGCTACCACTTGAGACTAAATTTCAGATACGACTATCCCTGTCGTAAGTACGTAGCATTAAATTTCTAATGTGAAGCTGTGTATGATATTGTAACTATCAAACAGCTCTTCATTCTTTTAGCAAATAACACAATGTATTGTTCAAATCCTTGTGACCAAGAAGCTTTGTGTGCTGAATGATGTCAAGCTTTATGATCTGACTGAGGCTGAGGGGATTAAGATGCAACCACCCCAGCAGTGTAGTTTGTCAGAGTTTCTCAGAACAGTTGTCAAATATAAATGAAGTTACAGATGAGAACAGCATGCTGATTAGTGTGCCAGGCTTAAACCAACAATATTTAATTATATTAATGTACATTATTAATATAATTCACGTATTTCAAGGTGACAGTATTGAAGCCATCTACTTTGAGCTTAACAAAATGAAGTATTTTTAACTCAAGGTATTATGTTTTTTTGATATCTTCTTCAAGGTGAACTTGTTTGTTTCTGCTTGTTTGTTTGGGGGTATTTGGGGAAAGGAGAAATTTCCTGCAGGGCCATATTTCAGGTTCCCACCGACACTTAAGTCCTGCATTGATTTATTAACCTTCAGACATGTAGAGTGAAATTCATCTTTCAGCTTCCTGCATTACACTTCTGTAAAAATAGAAAAAACAGTTACTCATCTGTGAAACGATAGGGCTTTTCCAGTTTTGCAAAACACGTGCTCATTCAAAACTACTTAAAAAAAGTGCTGTTACATTCTGTGTAGAATAGCTGTTTAAAAACAAAATACAGATCCTGTATCAAATACAGATACAGGAATTTAAAAATTAACTTTATTTTTGTATAGGTTTTCTGTAATGAAGGTTTCTTACACAGCTGGGCAGATAAAAAGGAAGACATTTTTAAGAGGAAAACTTGAAAATGTAATCTTTTTGGTTTAATAATTTAAATATCTTTTTTCTTAAGATGACTCTAACCTTGTGATGGTTCTGAATATCTTTCCAGAGTCTGCTATGACTGCAGTGACTGTTAATGGTTCGGCTCGAACTCCAAGAAGAGGTCAGAACAGGAGTACACGTACAGCAAAGCAACTTGATACCGATACAAAGATTATTGAAATCCTTTGTAAAGAGCATGATTGTAATTTAGATGAGGTAATGCCTGCATTTTAATGTCTGATAGGTCTTGCTGCTAAACCCCATCTGAAATATGTATTTATTTAAATAGTCTTGTTTTAAATGTCAATACTCATGCCAGCTTAACTATTCTCTCTAGTTCAATAGTGAAGGTATTCTACCATTCAATACTTTCTCTAGTAAGTAGCTTAAAGAACAAGCAAACAAAAAACCCCAAAACAAGCTCTTTGGTATGGATGATAACTTTGCCAAAGAAACTGAACTGTGAAGAATGCAATATGTAGTTGTAGGCTCATCATGGCATGTAACATGTAGATGAGGGCTGCTCTGCTGGGGTTTCAGAGCTGCATCCCATGAGGAGAAAATGTATGCAACAAGCACATTGCTTCTGTGGGGGATCTTAAAAATACCCATTCTCTTTTTCCTTGGCTGATAAACCTGTTCCTGTCAAAGGACTGATTTTTGAATACCCAGATGGATGATGGAAGTAGAAATATGAGAAGGCTAGGAAGAGTGCGGTTCTTTCCCAGTTTAGTCACTGAAAGCTCAAGCACTGGAGTGTTTGCTGCATGCTTATATATCACTGTGTTTTGGATATATAAGGAGTTTCATTCTTGCTTTATTGAAAACAAAACACAATGCATTACAGAAACATCTCAGTTTCTTGATTTCAAGGTGCGAAAGCAGTGTGTGCACGGCTGACTCTGTACATTGTTAATATTACATTTTTTCTTTTTATTAGGTCAAAAATGTGTATCTCACAAGCTTTATTCCTTTCTTGAATTCTGCTGGTATTGTAGCTTCAAATGGACTACCAGAGGTAAGTGGAGGAATTTAAGACAATGTAGTGGTTTCACCCTGTCTGGATGCCAGATGTCCACCAAAGCTGCTCTGTCATTCCCCTCCAGAACTGGACAGGGGAGAGAAAATATAACAAAAGGTTGATGAGTTTAGAAAAGGATGGGGGAGAGATCACTCGTTGAATACTATCATGGGCAGAACAGACTGAACTTGGGGATATTCACTGAATTTATTACCAACAAAATTCCTACCAGGAAACCTGCTCCAGTGTAGGCTCCTCTCTCCACGGGTCTGCAGGTCTCTGCCTGCTCTAGCATGGACTGCCCATGGTTTCACAGCCCTCTTTCAGGCATCTACCTGCTCTGGTATGGGTCTCTGCCACAGGCTGCAGGTGGATCTCTGCATCCCCATGGTCCTTCATGGGCTGCAGGGACACAGCTGCTTCACCATGGTCTGTACCACAGGCTGCAGGGGAACCTCTGCTCTGATGTCTGGAGCACCTCCTCCACCTCCTTCACCACTGACCTTGGTGTCTGCAAAGTTGTTCCTCTCACACATTATCACTCTTCTCTTCTCTGGCTGCAATTACATCTGCCCAATAACTTTTTTTCCTCCTTAAATGTGATATCAGAGAGGTGTTCTCTCCATTCCTAATTGGCTCAGTGGTGGATTCATCCTGGAGCCATCTGGCGTTGGCTCCGCTGGACATGGGGGAAACTTCTGACAGCTTCTCACAGAAGCCACCCCTGTAGTGCCCCTGCTACCAGAACATGGCCACACAAACCCAATACCAACAACAGTGCTTTACTTATGGCAGATTGCTTAAGATTCCCTTTACATGTTGATGAAGTTCTAATAGGTTATTCTAAAATCATCTAGCAAAATGCATTGTTTTTTAGGAATGTAGTTTAGCAGGGATTTCAGTATTCATGGAGTATGTTTAGCTGTTACATTTGAATTTAATAAATGAATCTCCTGAGGCTAAACCAGTGCTTTTGCTCAAAGCAAAACATGACATAAGCATTATATATCCATGATCTTGGTAAGGCTGTTCATCTAAAACACAACTATTACAATATTAGATTTCTGAAGTCACTCTGTAAATGCAAACAGTTTTAAATTACATACCTAAATTTAAATATAAATGAAACATGTTACTGTAGTGATGTTGGAAAGATATCTAAAAGGTTAGGCTCAGTTTCACAACTTGGCAGAGTTTGGCCTGCTGTGTCCATGCAGAATTCTTTTCATCTTGCCGAGCTGTAGCCTGGATGCAGCAGATTACCTCTATACAATTGCATCCAAGAGTGCACCTTAGTAGGTAACTTCTTGCAATGTGTTTTCCTTTCATCATTCTTGAAAGAGTAGGTCTAGCTGTGTGTCACCAATAGATGTGGTAACCTGAAAACAAGCAGCTCTGAAGCTTATCAGACTGATAAGTCTGCAGGGTTCAGCTAGGTGTATCTTTTGTTCAGTTTCATAGTGGGGAACAAAGTACAAGACCCACTATAGATCTTAATCTCTTCCTAAATTAATTTCAGGGTATCAGTAGCCTGTTTAGACTTTTTAATTTATGTGTGTATATATAGTTGGGAAACCCTGTATGAACTTCCAGGCAAAGGTCATTAAACAGCTTGTTCTCAAATCGGAGGGTTTTCATCCAAGGGTGCTCAACTTAAGCATATTATCAAAAGGACTAAGACTCTGCTGGTGAAAATTTTATAAAACAATGCATTTGAAGGAAAATCCAGTCACATTATCCTTGCTCCTGAAACTTGAGCACCTTGAGCGGCAAAGCAGAAGGTTACAGCTATATTTCAGAGATATTTGGTTCATATGTATAATCCAATTAACCATCAGCCATAGCTGACATCATCAGTACAATAGCTAGTAATGTGGCACATTTAAATTCACTTTCATTTTCATAACAAAAACACCGAACTTCTGATATATTTTAATATTAGTTCCAAAGCAAGAAAAGCCTTTGAGGCTTAATGTTGGTATTTCATTTGTCTTTAGTATGTGTTTGTTGGTCAGGCTTTTTGCACTGTTGAATAGATTCAAGCAGAACTCTTATTTTTGCCTGAAGGTTTCTTCCCAGTTATCCCAGTACAGCCATTTTGTCTAAGAGCTGCTGTTTTTTCTAGAAGTTTATGAAATACTGAAATATTTTAGATAAAAAGAATGCATAAGCCATTAGGAAAATAATAAAAATAAAGTTAACTTTTTAAATACAAAAGACAGTGGTAATGAGAATTGAAATATAATCTTTTTTAGTGGTCCTCATCTCAAAGTTTTAACTGTGAGATCAGTTTGGAGCAAATCCATTTGGTGAAGGTAAAAGGAGAGGGTGAGGAGCAAAGCTATGTAGGAGGTACTTGCAGCTTTCTCTCTCTTGGGACTGAGAGGGGACTAATTTGGTTTATATGCACTGTTGCCTGTTTTTCTAACGGGAATTTGCCAGAGCACAGCATCATTTAATATGTTTAAGGGCTCAGGGAACAGATAATTGAGGTGACTGCCTACTTCCGCAGGAGCACAGCAGCAGATTTGAAGTGGAGGCCTAGATTAAAAAAAAATGCAGACTTCAAGTTAATGCTAATCACTTAAAAATAAAAATAATAATAATTAAAAACAAACGAAACCCCCAAAAACCCCAAAAAATCACACCATCTAAAAAATCCAACAAACTTTTCCATGCAATATGAAGTCGTATCAGTCTGGGATCTAATCAACTGAGGAATTTTTAACAGTAATTTAAAGAACAAAAAAGTGGATTTGAAATGTCTGTATTTTTGCAGAAATAGGCACATCTCTTAAGAACTACACCAGTACAAATATATTAGTATGAAATGGGGAAAATCTTAGAACAAGAATGTTTGAGTTTGAGCATTGACCTCGATCTCCAAACCATCAGAGACAGACCAAACTGACTGTCCGACAGCTGTTCTAAGAACAAGCGTTTTATATTTCCTGCTCCTGGAGACACCCCTCTTTACTGGAAGGAAAGATTTGCAGATCTGTTTCCCATTATAGCTATTTTTAGCTCTTCTACCCTGTCAAGACCTACGTTTCTTTGAAAAGATCTTGGGTTGTTTTCTCTTATAAACAATCATTTTCCTCTGGGTGTGTTTCAACTGTTGTATAAGAACTAACTTTGTGAGCTACAAGGGCATTCTCTTAGCATTTCAGTGTTGTATTTATGAGGTAGGACTAACTTATAGTTTTCAATAAATTGTCAAGCTTGTTTCTATAAAATAAATTTGATTTTTTTCCAATTTTTTTTGAGGTTGAAGTTATCTTGAAACAGTATGATGAGCTCTATCTCAAAAACAAAGATATAGATGCAAGATTATTTCTGAATCATGATGAAACTCTGCAGCCTGATGTCATAGCATGGTAATATTTCCTTTTACTGCTTTCACTTTATAATAGAAAATTTGAACTTGTGTTGCTTTCTGCCCCCTTGTGTTATAAACAGAGATCTCTGTATCCTGTTGACCTTCTACATTTGTCGTTCAGCTAAGGTATTTCTGGCATAACCAGCCTTGCTTTACATTATCACTTAAATAATTAAAAAACATCTGCCTGTGACTCTACTGTAAAATGATTTGGAAGCTCTGCTCTAACTCTTACTATATGCAAGGCCCTATCATCCAGGGAAAGCTGAGGAATTGTAAGGAGGAGGCAGAAGCCATGTCATGCTAGTTGATTAGATGTGCCAGAGGCAATGTTATGGCTCTGGAGCCAGCTGGCATGAAATGGCTTGGGACCTCACTGTCCACATTCTCCTTCCTGAAAATGGATGGTGGCATTTGGAAGCTGCCTGCTAGGAGTGGCCTTGAGCCCATTCTGAATTCTGACCTGTACCCACAAATTGGGAAATGGTAGTTTGCATGGGACAGATGATTTAGCAGAATAAACAGTGTGCGCCCGGGCACACTCCCTGGAGCTGTTGGGGTGAGCTCAGAGGAGGGCCATGAAAATGATCAGAGGGCTGGAGCACCTCTCCTTATGGAGGATGGCTGAGAGAGTTGGGGTTTTCCTGCCTAGGGAAAAGGAGGCTCCAGGGAGACCTTAGAGCAGAATTCCAGTACCTGAAGGGGACTTATAATAAAGGTGGGGACAGACTTCTTTTAGCAGAGCCTAGTAGTTGTAATAGGACAAGAGGTGATAGTTTTAAGCTGAAAGAGGGTAGGTTTAGACTAGATAGAAGGAAAAAGTGTTTTATTATGAGGGTAGTGAAACACTGGCACAGGTTGCATGGCGAGGTAGTGGATGGCCAACCCTGGAAACATTCAAGGTGAGGTTAAGTAACCTGATTTAGTTGAAGATGTCCCTACTTACTGCAGGAGGTTGAACTAGATGACCTTTAAAGATCCCTTCCAACCTGAAGTATTCTGTGATTCTGTTTGATTTCTTTTTTAGTTATACACCTAAATTCCAGTGATTCCTGACAATTCAACGTTTCCATAATTTGATGTGAGCTCACTGTGTGAGCCTGAATATATACTAAGAAAATACGCTAATTTAAAATTGAATTAAAAAGGAAGTAATATCAACTCTACATATAAATTAAGCTGTTTGTAAATAGAATTCTAGAAAAGGAAAAAGAAGAAAACTTTGGAGGTCATCTAGGCTAACATCCTGCTTAAAGCAGATATACTTGGGAATTTAAATTACATTGTTTAAACAACTGGAGTGGTTGGACATCTAGATCTTCTAAAAATATGTTCCACAGTTGCCTCTTTGGATCAATAACTTGTTATAGAAAACATTGTTTTTTGGATTACATTAGTTCTGCATACGTTTGTTTTCCATTTCTGTAGCTCACAGTTGGAGAGGACACCACTGAAAAACAGTCCAGAGGAGGAAATTAGTCTTATACTTCCACAGACTCCTGTTCGGTATGAGTTTTTCTTTTAAGGTGTTTTACCCTAGCTCTCTATTTTCTGGCTTCCTTTTGTGATACCAAACTCTATATGCACACACATTTCTTCTGTGATCTTTGGCTTTTTACTATTATTTTTTCTGTATGGAAAGATTTAGCATTTCAGAGTACTTGCTTTTGATATTTTTCCTGTATTGGGAAGAGGAACATTTCAGAGTACCAACATACTTCATTCAATTGGGAAAATGGACAGATGTGTTAGATTAATTGGAGATTGTTTGATCTATAATCAAATGCAGAAAAACTGCAAGCTTGAATTCAGTTAACCAAAGGAAAGGAGATTTGCATGTACAATTTTTCCCTCGTGCCACGTAATTTTTTGACAAAATCAGTGTGATTTTGCCTGATTGTGCTTAGAAATTCCTGGACTCTCAAGAACCAATCAGATGTGTGACTGCAATGCCATGTGCTATGTAGGCAGAGAAGTGTCCTCACAGGTAGTCATTCTTAAGGTCTCAGATTTAAGGAAATCAAACAGTGAATTTTTGTTCTGTGCTTGATGTATAAATTCCTTTCATTTTAACATGCTATAGAGAAGTTAAAATATTGTACCCTTTATTATTATTGCAGTTTTTTCAAATAAGTAAAATAATTTTTGTTTTTATTAATGATACTTCTGCAGTGGAAATTGCTTGGGAAAGAATGAATTAGGATTGGGGCTTGTGCATCCACTGTAAATCTGCTTGATACCATTTGCAGAAACTGTTTTCTAGCCAAAAGAGCAGCAAGGTTCTGAAGAGCTCCTTCGTAAAAATAATAAAAGGAGACATGCAGCTGAGATAACTATTTATCAGTATATAGAAGAACTAATTGCCTCAAACTGTGAAAGGCTTTATTTGATTGCCTTGTGGTCCTTTTTAGTTTTATGCTTCAAATCTTTCACTGCCAGTGATGGTTTTTAGCCACAAAGGAATCAGTTTGCCTTTTGGTTCCCAGACTGAATGTGCGATGTCAGGAACTAGACCACCTATAACTAATAAGATGGTCATTAACAACAACTAATCCCATTTTTTACAATTATAGATAGACATTGACACTTTTCAATTATAGTAGAATTAAAGCCCTCTAATACTGTGAAAGATGAATCATTAAAGTTCTTGACATGGAAGGAAGTTCTTGACATGAAGAAAGTCCAAAGTATGAAGTTTCTGCATTGTTAAGAATTTGAAATGTGCTAAACTGGCATTGATCTTGAGAGAAGGACTAGTGAGATATTTAGATTCTCCCCATCCACACTTGGGCTTTGCTCCGAGTTTTCCAAAACTGTTGCCATTTAAGGCAATTCACATGAAGGCCTATTCACCAGCACTGATTTTGGGCTGTAGTAACTGTTTTTCATAAAGCCACAGAAGTGTCAGTAGGTGGCAGCAAATATTTGATCACCAGCATAAAGTGGAAGGTGTATCATTAACTCTCCCTGAATTAAACAAAACCCCCATAGGATATCCTGAAAGCACCATACTTATTAATTTGACTCTTCTTATAGTGTCATATTTCTGAACTTAACTGCTTAGGATCTGCTTTAAAGCCCCCTGAAACTGGAGAGAATCTAATAGTTTTTATCATTGGATTTGTATCAGGTCATTTATATAGAAAGTAACAGAAAAAAATCAGTGTAAGTACTAGTTCAAAGCACAATGAGAATCAGTTGTGTGTTCTCATTTTATTTTTTTCCACTGTCCTTATGTTTTTCCTTATCATTAGTAGATTTCTGACAGAAGTAATTTTACCAAAACCTTCTAAAACCAGATTAAGGAAAATTGCATCTTTGCACTGCTACAATAATAATGATTGAACACATTTTTCTTCCTTTTGCATTTATTTGTCTGGTTATATGAGCCAAATAGAGGTTAAATGACACAGAAATTTAAAACAGGCAAACACACAACTCCACCGAAAACCAGAATGAAAAGTTCAGAAAGTAACAATACCATAGAAGAATCAAACTTTCTTAGGTGTTAGGAGAGAAATGCATACACTAATTCTTTTGGTTATTAGAATTATTGCAATCCATAAGTAAAGAATTAGATTATTGAATTAAAAATGTTATTAGAATTCACAATAGTTAACACAGTGCAACAGTTTTCCCCAGCAGGTTGTTTGATAACTGGAGTGAGAACTAAAATAATTATTTTTTTTATTTTGGTAGAATTGCTGTTCAGTTTCTGGAAACCGTCATGCCAACCCTAATGTTTAGTATGCATTTTATTGTATTTTTCCAGAGCGGCAATGAATAACATTCAGCAACTGATTATGATTTTAAACTCAGCACCTGATAAACCATCAGATACTCTCATCACATATTTCAATGTAAGTTACTACAAGGAAGCTTTGTGAAAGATTCGTGGAATTACCACTCAACTAAAATATATACCTGTAGATCTTATGCACATGTTTTGGAAGCTCCTTTATTAACAACCAGTTTTTGAAGAAGTACATTTTAATTGGAATGATTTACATGTAGTTACTTGTTTTAGAAAGCACTTCTAACTGATGTGTACTGAAACCTTATAAGTACTTTTTTATTTTTGTTACTGCACTAAATATTAACATTCATTTATGTCCGTACTGCATGGAAGAAGAAGGGGCTATAAAAAGGAGAGCAGATGATGTACTCTACTCTTTTTAATACTCCACTTTTATTTATGCTGGTGAGCTGATTGAGAGGTGTTACGAAGTAAAGCAGGATTAAATCATTAAAATTACTTTGAAGTAAAATGTCTTTCCTTTACCTTTCCTTCCCTACTTTGCTGCATGTACTTTATTAGAATTGCACAGTGAACCCTCACGATAGTATCCTGAAAAGAGTAGAAAGCCTTGACCACATCTTCAAAAAGAAATTTGCTGAAGCAGTTGGACAGGGATGCGCTGAAATTGGCTCACAGGTAAGTAGCACTTGCATTGAGAGTTACTCATTTGAACACTGTTAGTACTAGCTAATGTGAGACCTGAATTACTGGCTGTCCTCATTCAGTGCAGATCACTAATGATAAAAAGTAACAGTATTCTTTTCAAATTGATGAGTATTTTTTTCTGAAGCACTGTAAAGATAATATTTAAAGTCCTCTAAATATATAAGGAGCAATATGAGCCAGGTGGAAATATGTTGGAAATCCTTTACTGAAGAATGGGAAAATTGCTGGCAAAATACATTTAGTGAAACATCTGTTGGCATTCATTAAGGTAACTTGGCCTAAAACTGCAAAAGGTGACTCACTTCCTTATAAAATCAGTAGGGCAGCTGTGCTTTCAACAAGGATTTTGGAAAATAAATCCAACCAAGTTTGTATTCGACAGTCTCCTTCCTGTCTGTCAACCCCGCTTTTTATTCTGTTAGCAGTGAATCAGCATGGACACAGTTTATGTTGTTACACTTGGTTAAGTTTTCATGTGGTTGGGGTAGTCACACGCCTTAGTACTTTGAGGCATCTCCAGTCTTATTGGCAAATGGAACTGGGGACAATCACTTCTTTATAGTGGCTTTGTCAAAAACTGGACATGTTCTGGATTGTTAAAACACAAGAATCTGCCTGTTGTAGTCTGGTACAACTTCTTGTAATACTCTTGAACTTCTTCTTCTAACAGAGATACAGGCTTGGAGTACGTCTCTATTACAGAGTAATGGAGTCTATGCTGAAGTCGGTAAGTTTAGCACTGGTAGCTTAGTACTCAGTGCATTTAGAAATACTAAGAATATTCACCAGTTTGGTCTGATTTATATATTTCAGGAGGAAGAGCGCCTCTCAGTGCAGAATTTCAGGTACTTGCCCCTAACTTGTTATTGAAGTGTGCTATTTTAACCTTAGGACAAGTACTGATAACTTCCTTTCTCTTTAGCACACTTCTGAATGATAACATCTTCCACACATCTCTTCTGGCGTGTGCTGTTGAGGTTGTCATGGCTACATATGGCAGTAAGTTAAATCTAAGGTCCTAAATAGCATTGTTATTTATTGATAATTATTGCCATCTGTTCTAATATATAAAATAGAGTAAATAGCAACAAGAAACAAAAAACCAACTCACAGAAATGTCTGAACTAGCAATGATTCAATAAATACAAAAAGCAAAAAACATCAAAAGTGAAAGAATGTAATACTTGTGATAATTTTAGTGTGTTTTCCCTTCAGGAAATGCTTCACAAAGTGATGGTACCAGTGCTGAAACAGACTTGTCTTTCCCATGGATTCTCAATGTATTTGATTTAAAAGCTTTTGACTTCTACAAGGTGATTGAAAGCTTTATTAGAGCAGAGCCAAGCCTAACACGGGAAATGATAAAGCATCTAGAACGCTGTGAACATCGAATTATGGAGTCTCTTGCTTGGCAATCTGTAAGTAATACTTTAAAGTAGTATTTGCCCTCATATAACATGCATACCTTGAAAAAAGAAATCACACCCAACTCTATAAAATTAAGGTTGTGGTCTTGCTGAGATTTATTTCTAGAAAAATAAATTACAAGAGCAAAACAGGATCAGTTTTGCCATGTCTTCAGGTTTTGGAAAAAAAGGAGTATATCAGAGGAAGGAGTCAACATAACTGCTGATTTGCGTGATTGTAAGCTAACATCATCTTACTAGTCTGGCATGAATTATAAGGCCAAATAACCTTAAACAGTGTTTTCGTACCAGAGTCAAGGCAATAAATTCTATGCTTTTATTTGAAAGTTAATTTTTACCCAGTTGCTATTCCTACTTGGCAAAAGGGCCTTAGTTCTGGGCATCTGATATGTTTGTTAATAGTACTTCAAATATGATTTTGCACTGTCCTTTGTGCTTCAGTCACTTTGGTATTTTTGGATGCCGTTACAATAAAATGCTGGAAGGTTGGTGGTTTTTTTGGCTGCGTTTCAGTAAATCAAATATTGTTCTTTTTATTATTTGTTACTTATAAACCAGAAATATGTTATTTATGCCACAAAACATGAGACTATAGAGACTGGTAATTTTGACCAGAGAGACATAATGCAACCATTTAAGAACCTATCCCATATCTTTTAGTTCTGGAAAGTTTAAAAATATGGTATGCCATAGCTAATGGAATAGTTTAATCATGAAGTGAGTTTTCAGGGTAATCTGTGTTTGGTTTGTGTATGACTTGGGAGTGTAAAGTTAACAGTTTTCTAGTATGGGTGATACTTTACCAGGCAGTGGGGTTATATTCCCAGATTAAAGGAGCGTTGTTGGCCTGAGCAGTGAGAGCCCCATCTAGCCCAGGAGAAGCATGCTGACCTCAGGGTAGTATGGAAGTAATTGCCTTGATTCAGAGTGAATCTAGTGGACCACCTTTTGCCTACCAGCCCTTGCTACTCAATTTTCCTTGCTGACAAAGTCAATGGCCACATGTGGCTCTCTGAACATGCCCTGTTGTAAAAGTGACCTTTTCACTGGGGGAGCCAAGACTTGTGTATCCAGCTCCACGCTCATCATCACAACACTGTATGCACCCCAGGATTTCTGGTGCAGTGCTACAGCTGCTGTACCAGAGTGTAAATTTTCCCTTGTAACATTTTTGTGTGTTTGATGTCTTGGGAAATGCACATTGCCTCTGCATTGCTGTGGAAATTTCTTAGTGGTTTTGCTCTTTTTTGAATAAGATGGCCTGAAAGCCCTTGAATTCTTTTCATCAGAGCCTACAGAAATGGAGAAGGAAGCAATATTTTAAGAGGCAGACAGAATTTTAAGAAACTTGCAGTGCTTTGCTTGAATGTATTTTAATGTATTGGATCTCTCTTCCTGAGCTTCTAGAGGCGTATGTTTGGTACTGTTTTGGGGTGGGGGTGGCTTATAGAGCTGATTTGAGTGTTAGTAGCGTGGAATAGTTCAGTTGGAAGGGACCTACAATGATCACCTAGTGCCAGCAAAATATGTGGAGTGGAGCCTAGTGGAGGGAATAAAAAGGAATGTGCAAGACATGCATCCAAGGGCCCTGCTCCTTCACTGACCTACATGTCATGTCTCACCTGGGTCTCCCCAAGCTCAGGACAGTGTCTCCTATTGTTGGAGGCTTGGCACTAGAGGGCACAGTAGGTTTTCCTCAAAAGCTGAGGGAAGCTGTGGCAGCCAGGACAGGCACCCCACGGTTCAGTGCTGTCCTCCACTGCCTCCTCTGGCTACCCGTGAGGGAAGCAGAGTGTTTAGTGGTGGCTCAGGAGAGGAGTAGTAGTGAAACGTTATCTATGCTAAAATGTCTTGCTGAGTCTCTGGGTCCCTGCAGCAGAGGAGCTGAGGCCCCACATAGAAACGGAGAGCCTTGAGTCCTCTAGTGCAGAAAATCCACCCCTTCTTCACATCTAAATATTGCCTGGTTTTGTCTGGAAACACTTAACCTATTAGAAACAGGAGAAAATGCTGCCGTGGTTGACTTAGGAGGCTGTTGAGGTGTCCCAGAAAGGCTCAGCTAGTGAACAAAGGAATAGTTTACTGTATTCTTCTGCAGTTCTTTACCTGGATATTGTTTCCATCTAGTGGTGTACAAGGTTTACAAGTGTCTGCTTAATTAGCAATTCCCTTAAGAATGGGTAGACAATTAAAGTGTAGTTCATACCAGTAAGTACCTCTTAACCTCCAAACACTTGATAAAGGAGGAGAAAAAAGTCACATGCCTTCTTACTTATAAAGAATGTCTCACCGTAACTGATTGCTTTGGGTTAATTTTAAACAATGTACTTGATAGTCCGAGGAAGATGGAATCTCAGGAAGGTTCAAGTTTGCTTCTATGGTTAGAGAATGTATTTTTTTAAGTGTTAAAATGAAGAAGAAAAGCATGGAATGAGTAAAGCTTATGCAAAAAAAAAAAATCTAGCTTGGTAAATAAGAATAGAAACTATTGAAAAATATTTATTTACAAATATTTGCATAATGCAACTCTGATAAGTAGGGTAAATAACCCTACTTATTTACCATGTGGTTTTGTTTAGTTCTTGCCTCCCCCCCAGGTAGTGCATTTCATTACAAGGCTTGTCTGCTTTTTGAAGAGTCAGATCTGGTTTTATCCAGTCTTTCCTCGTTCTCCTGACTGCTTTAGGAAGCAGGACTTCAATAGAGATTTGAAAGGACTGAGCATTTTAATACAGAATAGCTTGAATTTATTGTTCTTTTACTTGTCACAGAGCTTTTGTGAGGAAAAATGCCTTGCATAATTTCCCTGAAGAGAAGTCTTAAGTGCATCTGACCTTTAGCTGACTTTGAAAACTGTATCAAATGAATGTGAGATTTCTTACTAGTATCTGAAGATAATATATTACTCCTTAGCTAGTCATTATGAATATGTTTATTGCTTTTGCATAGCTAGCTGACTTGGTCATCTGTGCTTTAGGAAGGAAATGAAACTTTTCTAGGTCATCCTTTCTTTTAACTAAAAAAAAAAGAAAAAAGCATGGCCTGACAAAATAAGGGGTGGAAAACAGCTGAAGGTTCTTCTCAATAATTCAAGATTTTAAAACGGGGCAAATACATACTGACTAAATCATGTGAAAAGTGCTTCCTTTCCCTTAAATTTTTATTGAACCTTTTATTGAAAAGGAGAAGCCCCATTTACCCACTCAGATATTTACCAGTGAGTTTTTGATGCTTCCAGAGACAGGTTATGTGGAGATCAGTTAAGAATATGTTGATAATGCTGCATAACTTTTAGTTGCAAAATAGAAATATGCTGCACAGTATTCTTTCTTTACTGCAGAACATTTGTGCTCACAGTAGGCACTATTTTGATTTCGTAACTTTAAATATAGGGAACTGAAATTACTTTAGACTCAAAGATGATGATAGCCTTGGCTCATTTTTATCATATTTCTGTAAATATGATTTAAACCCTGCCATAATTGAAATCTGTTTCCCGTGAAAGGGATAGCTCATTACTGAAACAAGAGCCAGGCCTAAAAAAGTTAAAAGCCCCCAACAACTGCTCAGCCTGTGCTACTAAAGAGCCGTTCTGTTCTGTTCACTGGACCTAAATCTAGAAGAATGCTATACAATGAACCTAGGGGTAATAAATTGGGATAAGGTAGACATTTGAATAGAAGAAAATGGCTTGGAGCCAAGACCTTCTGCAAGCTTCAGTAGTTAGGGCAAGAACAATGGAAAGGTAAGAAGGTCAGAATGGGAAAGATGAGAAAAAGACCCCCAACTTGAGGCTGAAGGCCGGATGTACCCCTGAAATTCAGTGCCAAGAGAAGCACCGTAAGCTCTGCCTAGACTCCGCCTATCATTAATATGTATAGTAGGTTTTGCAATCATATGAATATGGAAGTAATCATATATGTAAGACTGTATAAAACCCTTGATTTTGTGTGGTGTCTTTGAGCGAGTTTGTGCAGGATGGCCTGCCTTGCTCCCAATGCTGCAAATAAATGCCTTTGCTGCTTAAAGATACAAAGTCTCTGAGCAGTTCTTAGCAAGTTTTTCGGCATTACCTGCCAACCTGGAAGTTCATGCTCAGCCTTTTCCATAATTCTGTCAAATACTCTTTTGGCCAGCCAAAAAAGTAATTGTTTTGAATATCTCAAATGAAGATTGTGTGAACAAATTCCAGAATATCTGAATATCCCATAGAGAAAGCCCTGTCAACTGCTGTGTCACATATTTGACTAAAGTGTTGCTGTTTGCTGCACTGTGTTAGGAATAAACAAGGAAGAGCTGGTTTTCAGTGCAAGCAAATCAAACACAAAGTCTATCATTTTTCAGTCTATTTTGAGTGAAATGTCTATAATATCTGAAATGCATTTGTTTCAGTGTGACTTAAGTTTGGGTTTGGGGTTTTTTGCTGTGTCCTTCAAGAAAGTAAACACCTGTGATCTTTGTCATCTGTATCTGCAAAGCAATCTGGTTGTATTTCCCTGCCTCTCAGCTTCCATTCTGCTCACAAGCTCTGAATGGAGAGGAACAAACAAGGTGTTAAATTTTTCATGCTGCTGCTTAGAGAATGTTCTTCCTGCAAATGCCCTTTCACATGTTCAGTAAGTCGAGAGTGTGGAGCGTACACATGTTCTAAATCATCACAACTTGGCATACTTAAAATAATTTGGGCCATGCTACAGAATACTTTCTCTGCAAGCCAGCTTTTGGTGGGCCCAACACAAGATGTGCTAAGCCCTTCTGCTCTGTCAGGGTTCAGCTGCCTAGTACTGGGGTAGTGAAAGGGTCTTGTTCTTCTGCACTGGAGTTGCAGGCAAACTGCAGCCTTGTCTAAAGATAAGGTAATTTATGCCAACCCAGTAAGGGGGATTAGAGAAAGAAGCACTCCATACTTTATTAGGCTCTACAGATGGTGGAACGTTCTGTTGTTAACTTGTTAACTCATCTGCATGAGCACTAGGAGTCAAGGGGTATTC